TTACTCAGCACCCCTCTAGAAATCTAATTTAACTTTTTTTAAAAAATTTGTGTCATTTCAAAAAAAAAGTTTTTAAAAGACGCATCTTAAATTTAATAATTTATTGTAAATTTGTGAGTTTTTTCCTGCATTGAAATTTTGATGACACAATATTGTGTCGTGTTGTCAACAAGTCATTACACACATATTCCTGATGCATGCTGGTCTTCCGGACAATGCACTACATGCTTGCCTGTCAACTCTTGTTTGTTCAGATCTGTCGGCAAACTTGACCGCTGATGGGTTATAACTTGCATTTTGTGTGTTATTTTGAAAATAATGTGATCACTTTAACTCTGTTTGACAATTACAGATGAAACATATAGGAATAGTTTTTCAAAATTTTCTTCTCTTCTTTCCTTTTGCTTCCACGGCCCCCTTATTTTTATTCAAAGCCCCCTCAATTGCACCTGTGGCTACTACAGCCGCACCCCTCATTGTTCCATCCGCTCCAGCAGGCTGTATCACCCACCGGAAACCTCTGAAGGGATTGAAAAGAGAGAGACTGTACACTAAGTGTGGGAAAGTAGGCTCTACTTTGGGCAGCAAAGAATTCACACTGAACTTACCAGATATGATAGTGAATAAAACAAATTGAGGAAAATGCAGGATTTACTTTCTCATTTCTCTCCCTCCCTTTCTTTCCAAAAGGACTGATGTTTACATCTAAATTTTACTATTCTTTTTAATTGTTTAATTTATATTTCAATCATCCATAAAAGTCAGTCAATAAACATTTATTATCTGTTATGTGACCTATTCCATCTGCATAGAGATAACAATATTCCCCAATTGAAAGGCATCTACTTTGTTTTTAATTCTTTGCTGGCACAAAAATGCTACCATAAGTATTTTGATGTATATGGAGGCTTTCTTTTTGTCATTAACCTCCTTGGGACATTTGCCTAGCAGTAGAATCTCTGGGTCAAAAGGTAAGGACATTTTAGTCACTTTTTATGCATAATTCCAAATTGCTTTCCACAATTGTTGGTCCAATTCATAGCTCCACCCAACATTGTGTAGAGTATCTGACTTTGCAAAATCTCTACAACATTAACTATTGTTTTGATGTGCATAAGTGATTTGGAACATTTTCCCACGTGATTGTTTTTCAGCATTTCTTCTTTGGAGAACTGCTTGTTCAATATCTTTTGACCACTGCTCTATTAAGAGGTGTCTGGTCTTATGTATTTCTGTTAGTTGTCTATATATGTTGTATATCAAACTTTTAGCATAATATTTGATTCAAAGATTTTCCCCAGGTGACTATGTCCCTTCTTATCCTAGATGGGCTAATTTTATTATGCAAAAGTTTTTCAATTTCATATAATCACACTTCTCTATTTTATCTCTTGTAATTGTCTCTACCCTCTTGTTAGGTTAAGAATTCATCTATTACTCATTGCTATAAAATATATGTGATCTACTTCTCTTCTAATTTTTTTATGGTATGATCTTTAATATTCAAGTCGTATGTCCAGTTTTAATTTATTGTGGAATATGGTTGTAAGATATGAGCTGAAGACTAATTTCTGCCAAATGCTTTCCAGTTTTCCCAGGAGTTCTTATTGAATAGAGAGTTCTTTCATAGGTAATTTGTTTTCAGGTTTATTGAACACTGGGTTAATGAGTTTGATTTATTTTGATGCTTCCTTTTCTAGCCTGTTCTGCTCCATACAAAACAATTGACATACTTTTTCTATTTTTTAACCATTACCAAATGTTTTTGGTGATTGTTGCTTTCTAATATAATTTGAGGTCTGAAAAAACCCTCCCCCTCATTTATTCTTACATTTTAAATTATTCCCTTAATATTCTAGATCTTTTTTTCCCCATGGATGAATTTTGTCATTTTCCCTCTTTGTCAAGTATCCCTTTTTAGTTTATCAAATCTATAAATTAGCATTAAATTTGTAAATTAACTTTGGTAATGTGGTCATTTTTATTATATTGGTCCAACTTATTCATAAACACTGAATATTCCTCCAGCTATTTAAATTGTCCATCATTTTCCTCATGGAGCATTTTGTAAGTAAATATATATACGTTATGTGTGTGTGGGGGTGTGGGTGTGTGTGTACACATACAAACGTGCAAACATTGAGTGCACTTTGAAAGACTGACTCTCAAATATTGTATGCATTTTGTATTTATTTTGTGTTGGACTACCCTCTCTATGTTTGCTTCTTAGATTGGCTTATTTTTATTTGCAAATGCCATTGATTTTTGTTGGTTTATTTTATAGCCTGCAATGTTGCTGAAACTATTTTCAATTAGTTTCTTTGCTGACTCCTTAGGATTTTCTCAGCAAAGCATCATGTTATCAACAAATAAAGATAATTTTGTCTCCTCTTTGCCTTTCTTTATGTCTTTAATTTCCTCTGTCTTATTGCTATTTCTAACATTCCTAAAACTATATCAAATAATGAAGGGAGGATTAGGAAGCATGGGCATCCTTGCTTCCTGTATTTATTTATTTATTTTGGGCAATTGGGATTAAGTGACTTGCCCAGAGTCACACAGCTAGGTTCAAGTGTTTGGTCTGAAGCCGGATTTGAACTCAGGTCCTCCTCACTTCAAGGCCAGAGCTCTATCCACTGTGCCACCTAGCTGCCCCACTTCCTGTATTTATTGAGAGAAGGTTCATCATTGCATCCCAGGCCATGGCACCACCCTTGGAGTAGGAACAGAAAAGTCCTATTTTTCCCCCAGAGCAGTGAGGCCCCATCCTTTCCCTATATGTTGATTAGGCAACCCTTTCCCCTGTCTTCTTAGCCCTTTCCACCATATGCTGCATAGACAACTACTTCCCCTTACGACAATAAAGCCCTGCTTGGAAGGACTCTGGCCTTGGTATTCTTACCGACTCCAAACCAGCTCTCCCACTGCCTTTCTTGATTCTGAAACCCAGGAGGAGAGGTTCGTGCCTCAGTGGCACTCCCCTCTTCCCATGCCAGACTCCTTTATTAACCAGGCTTCACTGATTTGACCTTGGCCCGGGATGGGTAAGTCTTTTCGCTTTCTTTATAGAGATCCCCTTCTCCCTTGCCCCACCCTTAAACAGCCTGGGGACTCCCCGAGAAGCTCCCACTTCTCAGCTGCAGGTAGCTCCAACTGTGGAGGGAGTTGCATGCTATGCAGTCCTATTGTAGTAGCCTTCTGTTAAACTAAGGGACACCTTGGTAGGAATGGTCCATATTTTCATTTTCTCTCCATGTTCTCAGGACGCTGAGATCCCTGGGGATTTTGGCTGTTTGAGATGGTGCAAGGACCATCTATCCTCATGTGCCCCACTTTGGGCTACTTGTTAAAGAATTGGGAAACATTCATGAGAGGGGATTTGGAGAAAAGTGTGTAGTCTTTTTTGTAACACTGCCTGGCCTCAATATTCTCTAAAAGATCAGGAAAAAGAGCTAGAAAACAGATTCCTGAATTATAATACCATCTTGCAATTACATCTTTTTTGTAAACAGGAAAATTCTTGATGGGGGTTTCTAATGAGCCTCTAATTCCCCCTCTCACTGTCATTAATTATGCAGTCTGTATTTGTCTGTTTCTCTCTTTGTGTTTTAAAATGTCTAGGTGTTGGATTATGAGCTAGATACTGTCATTAATTATGCACTCTGTATTTCTCTGTTTCTCTCTTTGTGTTTTAAAATGTATAGGTGTTGGATTATGAGCTAGATACTGTTTAGTTACCTGGTGAGATTTAAAATACAGCCAGCTAGAGACTTCTAAGGGCTGCAGCTAGAAAAACAAACAGACCTATAAGACTCTTTTCCTTGTGGTTCCTGGCCTGGCCAGCCCGGAATTACAGTGAAAAGTTAGCTACAGCTGAAAACATCTTAGCGTTTTCTAGAGGTCTTAAGATTAACCATTAAGAAGTCTGGAAATTGATCCTTTTGGGATTGCAGGAGAAAAATCCTAAAACTTTTCAGGTAATTCCACAAGCTCACCCTCTGCTAAAACACTTCCACGCATTCCTGATTGCTCAGCATTTCCTACTGCATCCCCCGAGTTAGGAGTGTGTCTCAGTATGGGGTCTCACGGGTCCCTTGTTAACCCCTCTCATCCCAGATCAGATGAAGAGAAGAGCATGCTAGAGAATCGCACGGAAAACTTCAATCAGCCTTCCCCACCTGGTAAAAGGAGGGGAGGGGCGGCGATCACAGATTGGCAGTGGCCCTAACAGCCCTGTGCCCCTGGGCACCCTGCAGCCCGCCCCTCTAAGCAAAGCCTAAAAATATTACCCAGGTTCTGCAGACCACCCCAGGCTCAGTAAATTCTGCAGCTGTGAAGAGGGGAGAGGTAGACAGGTCAGGCCTATAGTGAACATTCCCTAAGCCCTGCTACCAGGAATTATCACTCCTGGGAAGGCCCTGGCATCAGCCAGCCACACCAGCCCCTAGGCAGTGCCCACTGCCATACCCCCCAGCTCCCAGCTGCTCCCTGAGAGAATCCAGGTGCCCCTGGCAGTGCCTAGTGAGATAAGAAGCCAGTCAGCCTCTGTTCTTAGCAAGCCCCATACTTCTCTGTTCCAGTTACAAAATGTACAAAAAGCTATTTTATCTCTGTTTGCCTCATTTCCTAATATGTAAAGGGGAAAATAGTAATGGCTGTTGTTATGGAATCAAAATGATATGAGTATAAAGTGCTTCATACAATGACTGGCATAGGTTGGACACATTATTATCTCTCTAGTTTAATGTAATTGCTCCATATTTGAAAACTTGGAAGTTGGTTTTAAATACCAAAAGTAATAAGATCAGTAATTTCTATACGTAATAATCTGAAAATGCATCTGAAATGTATTGTTTGTGCTATTAGTGTATTTCTAAATTGTATTGTATTTCTAAAACTCTCTTCAATGGTAAAATTTGAGAGACCATTGTGAGGTAGAAATGGTGTTAGCCCTTGCCCCGGAAGGGTGTTGTGACTGGGGGGGTAGCGGAGGTCTCACTATGTCTGCCATTTTTAACTTTCAGAGCCTACTGACAGTAATCTTGTTGCCTATAGTTGCCTATGCATATATCCGATCCTTGACTCCTAACCTCTTGGACAAAAATAAAACTGGATTGTTGGGTTAGGATGGGGACGGGGCCCAAGACAGTTCCCAGCCCTTCGTCTCCCTTTGAAAGCCTCGGCCTTACCTTTCAATCTTATTCAGATGCGCCTTTGGCCCTCTAAAAGAATCTGGCTCCCTTTTGTCTGAGCCCCAGAATGGCCTTACTTTGGTCTCAAAGGGTTCCTTAGCGACTCTCCTTATCTCCTTTTGAAAGTCCTAGCCCCACCCTTTGATTTTGTGCAGATGCCTTTCCAACTTCTGCCTTCCTGTTCCCTCCATTAGCTATTCCCATTGTCTATTCAATCTCTCAGACCTCCCCAATTAGAATTGTTACCTAGACCCTTTTCCCAACCCCCTTCTCTGGCCACCCAAAGTTACTTTAGTATTTAAGATCCACCCTGGCCCCCATTCAGATGCTGAGAATCTCTCTTGCCCCAAAGGCTGAGAACCTCTCATGCCCGCCTGTCTTTACAGGGGTCACCTGGCATATGTGATTTATCACTAATAAACTTTTCCTCTGGCTTGAATAAGACTTGAGTTGAATTCATTCAGCAGGGCCCAGTACCGCAATTTTGGGTTTGCAGCACCCCAAAAGTCCTACACCTCTTCAGGCATATTTTGGAAGTGTGCCAGAATCGGTGAATGAAAGAGTCCCTAATGTAGCAGTATGCTGTATAGTAGTGGCTTTCAGCATCTTGTTCATCTAGTAGCTGGAAAACGCCAGAATTTAATTGCTATCAGATTTCTATAGAAAAAGGACTTGCCTACAGAAAACAATGGGAAGAGTGATTATTAACCCTTTCAGCTGTGTACCTTGACTGAAAGACTCCTGGTTGCTGTTCTCAATTATATGTGTTAATGGACCAAGGTTGTTCTCTATAAATAACTAAGACGCAACTGTTAATACCAGAATGGATTGATATTTGCATAATGATCGACCTTATTTATGGTTCTGCCACTAAAATTGCATTCTATAAATGTCATTCTTTTACGTCACCTGTTGATCTACAGGAGGTATTTCTATTGCATACAGTAGAAAGCAAACTTGGTAAATGATTGCTCAACTTCCATTCTATATGATTCAGAGGAAAAATTGTATCCTCATATGAGAACATTTCTATAATGAACATTTTTTTTGTTTGAGAAAAATGGTTAGATATTATGCAAGGGTTCATAAAAATTGCATTTGTGTCTAATAACGCTTTAAAAAAGTTTTCCCTGGACAACTCAATTTGTACTCAGTTTTATCTGTGGCTTACCATGTTTTCCAACTTTATAAAGTCAGCCTATGCAGTACACATACAGAGAAATTGCTAAGATTGTATGTAACAGTGTTACAAGAAAAGTATTCTTTCCAGATCCCACTATAAAAAACGAATTCTTATATTCTCAATTAAAGCAAAGAGTTGTAAGGAAAGTCTACTAGGGTATTTCCCCTTGAAATCTGGATCTACATGTATCTTAAGCTTTTATTCAAATATCTGCTGCTAAAGAAAAAAATATTTTAAAGATGAAGTGAACGAATTAGAACAGTTGTGAAATGATGGTTCCTATGTTTCATTGATTTGGATCTCAAGTCTTTAATAATGAAACAGTTATTTTCATTGCCAGAAATTCAAACCGTATTAAAAAAAAAACACCTTGAAAATAGATCAATTGATCCAAACAAATGATTTTTTTTTTTGACAACTTGATCTGGTGTCTTTTAGATATCTCAAGATGTATAACTGGTATATGCAGATATTGAACTGTATCAACTCCACTAATTTAGTATTCTCTATTCTTAAACATATTTGATACTAATCGCCTTCAGATTGAACAAAAGAATAACATCATTAACTTTTAAAACAACAAATTATAAAAGTGCAGTTTAAGTACTCTGCAAAGGTGCAGTTATTTTTATGGGTTTTCAAGAAGGCAAAAAGGAAATTTTCATGATTGAGTATGCTTAAAATTTCTTTGCTTCAACTGAAATTCTGTCAGTTTCAAAACAGAGTTCAAAACTTGTGAAACATTTAATTATTTTCAGCGGATTCCTTGTGTTGGCAGATTGTAGGCCAACAATAAAATTCTTGTTCAAATATTGGTGCGAACATATGTATAAATGTACTCATTGATCATTAATTGGCTTCCTCCCGTTTGAAACCTTTGTTGCCCAGTTATTTAGTCTAGACCTGTAACTTTGTGTCCAGTGAAGTAATGAATCTCAAATCTGAGAAGGGCCATATAAAACATTTAAAGTACTTTCTTATTTATGACTTAAAGATCTCGATGAGAATTGTATCTGAACACTTCTACTAAATTAAAAATTATCCTGTGTAGAAAATCTTAGTCACTCTTTTCAGCCATTCTACTCAACAAAAAGAGAAAAACTTACGTGGGTTTTTGTTTTGTTTTGGTTTTTGTTTTTTGCTACATTCAGAAACAGTCTGAAAATTTCTCATTTATAGAACATTATTTTCTTTTGTTTTCCATTTTTTAAGTTAATTTTCAAGGGGAAAAAAAGTGAGGGTAATAAAATCTTTTTAAAAAAATTTTTAAAAAGAAATGGTGTTAAAGCAATTTTAATCTGGATTTTGTTGCATGTGAATTGAGCCTTTTAAAAGGATGTGATAAAATAGATTATTTGAAAACTGTTAAATATTTAATGTGGTATATTTGGTTATAAACAGGTAATAATAATAATACTGATATTTACTATGATAGCAGATTTTTCATTTGAAATCTTGGCTGTTGTAAAAATATATAAAGTGGTTTAAACACATTAATGATGAGATGAATGATTCTCTGTGCAAAGTGATTTGGAGGTGCTTTCGCCCAAATTGTTAATAGCTTGTGTCAAGTTTTAAATACATAATAATGTTCAGGGTTTTGTTACATTCCTAAATTGTGTAATTTGGTAAACAGTTGTATCGGCTATGTTGTTGTAAAAGCAATTCCTCTCATAATCTACATGTTAGATTAAGAATTGTACAAAAAAATAGGAGAGAATGAATGGAGTAGGATAAACTTCCAGGTTTTGTCACATTTAAGCAGTTTCATGTAAAATTCTTATGAACTGTGTGCAAAAGTTTTTTGTGCTGTAGAATTCCTACTGAGCAAAAGAGAATACAAGCAAAAGAAAAAATCTCTTGTGTGCAAGAGTTAAATTCGTGTCTGAACTTATCATATGTATAAGATTTCAATTCCCGAAGTGTCTTATTCTTCCAGAGTGAATATAATTAGAGAAGAATAAATCCATCAACCTGTGAAGTTAAAGTTAGGAACCTCTTGTTTTGTTTAAGGAATGGGATTCCAGTACAGACAGTTATGTTAATGAAGAGAAGTAACTTATGAGCTCTTTTGTGTTATATTAATGGGAAATCTAATATTATTTAAATCTGGAATTAACGTACAGAAATTTATGCAAACTGCTTAAGACTCACTTTAAGATGCTCTCACTGTTTAAAGGGATCATGAGAGCAGTAGTAATTTTCTGTGATCAATCTCTTATTGTTACCAATGTGAGATTAAATACTTCTTATTTAGGATGTGTGATCCTTGAAGAGCTAAACTTACCTGAAGCTCTGATTATTAGAATTTGCTACTGAAGACTTCATGGGACTACAATTAACTACTGTTTTGAGCTTTGATTACAGGGATAGTTGTCTGAATTATCATGAAGCCAATAGTAGAATGGCATGTGCTGCAGACTGAGAACTGCTAAAAGTGGATGTCTGTGCCTGGGAAGAGTTTTGAGGACAACCTTGGACACAGCCTAGGTAGCATCTTCCTGACTCTGCTTCCCATTTGTGCTATTTCCTTTCTGAAAAAGAAAATTCCCTACCTGCTGCTTTTAATATCTAGTGACTACATGACTGACTGTCAGACGTGATTCATGCCTGGAATCAAACAGACCTAAGGAATTTTTTTTTCCCTTCTGTCATGATATATGACATAATCCCTCTTTTTCCTTTTATAGCAAATTTCTATAATTGAGAAGTTCTGTAAGTAAAATACTAAATGTATTACATAATAGATGGATACTGGAACATCCCTGAGTTACTATAATAGGATGCAAGAATAAATAGCTTACAATTTTGACTTACATTCGTGGCCAAATAATAATAATATAGGGATAATATCCTCCTGAGGGGAAAACGATTAAACCAAGTAATAAGACAAAGATGTAATGTGATAGATATCTAATTATATAGGATAGTGGTAAAAGTAAGAGAAATTATTTCTCCTTCATTAAAGTATCTCTCTGATAATTATTATTTTTTATTTTTGGTCAGGCAACGGGGCTAAGGGACTTGCCCAGGGTCACACAGCTAATAAGTGTTATGTCTGAGGCTGGATTTGAACTCAGGTCCTTCTGAATCCTAGGCCAGTGCTCTATCCATTGTGCCACCTATCTGCCCCCTGTCTGACAATTTTAGAAGGCTTATTTTATGGTTGAAGCCTCACATTTTAAAGATCCTTATACCAGGTACAGAATTTAGGTAAGGACATAAATAGCAGATGATATATAAACTGAAATTCTCTGAAGTTTCAAAAATGGAGAATCAAATTTAAGTGATTATATTAATTTATATTGACTCAGAATTATCTGGGAACTTTTAACTCTGAACCAGAAAAGCAGAACTCCCTTTTAGAACTGTCCTAAGAATAAAACCTATTGTCAAACAAAGGATATTTAGGGACCAGATAACTACATGAGACATCTGGGACTGTAAAAGGTACTGCTTAAATAGACATTGGGAATAGATTACTGGAATACAAGGAACTTAATGTTAGTTAACATTGGTAATGATGATTGTATTGATTTGCATAGTTCATGTTTACATTTTCTTGGTTACCTTGGTGACATGTAAATTTCCCTTCTCAAAACTGGTCTACTAGGAGCCTTCTAAGTAGTTTAATCTATACCTGATTTAATGTTATATGCAATTTTGTGAATTATGACGGAAAAAAACTTTATTGTATTATTTGAACCTAGCCCTCTGTGGCTGGGAAACTGAACCATCTCTCTGTGCCTTTAACCAAACACCTATGTTATGCTATTTTCTCTCAATTGTCAACTCATATAGTCTTCTTAGAGCCCCTACTAGTCTTTCTGACTACTCCTACAGCTGCCACCTTGTGGATGTGGGCTCCTGAATCATCTGAGGACACCTGCTCCAAGTGGACATCTCTTCCCACTCCCTGAAGAAGAGTGAAGTTTTCCCATGTCTTCCCTGGTCTGCAGGGTGGTGCCTTTTGGCACACCGTTGACCAAGAGTAGACCTCTCCCCAAACCATTTTGAACCCCCAAGACCTGAGAAAGGCCTAAGACCTAGAATGGCCAGTCAGGAGAAACCTTTGGTCCTCTTCCTTGGTCCACCCTCATTAATTATCTCTCCTCTGTCATTGCCAGGCACCTCTTTTAAGTCAGAGTCCTCACAGCAGCTCCTTATCCTACCTCCCTTGATGTCTCCACTGCCTCCTGCCATGTTGCTCATATTGGGTGATCCTGTTTTGACGCGCCCTAACCTCACCCCTTATCAGCTTGAAGCAGCCAATGATGACTTGGGCCTTCATCCTAATTCCCACAAGAAGTGGGGGAAATGGAGTAGGAACAGCAAAGTCCTATTTTCCTCCCAGAACAGTAAGGCCCCACCCTTTCCCTATATGTTGATTAGACAACCCTTTCCCCCATGTGCTGCACAGATAACTACTTCCCACA